TAATTTTAACATGCATTTGGATATAGAATTTTTTAATTTTTCGAAATAAAATTTACATATTTAAAATTTACATAAAAATTATTATAAGTCATAATAATCAATAGTTTAAAATATTTATGAAAAAATTATGATTAAAATAAAATTCGTTTGACTCTTGAAATTTGAACACCTTCACGTAATTAAGACGGATGGAGTAATATAATCCAATTGTACAATCTAATGAATTATAGGACGACTCCATTTGTTTCTACAATCTAATGAAATATAATCGTAAATCCAGAGGTGTTGATTCTGTCGAAATCAATTTTTCGTTTCTCGAGACTCGGGATCAAGCTTACCCTTATTCAGCCCAAACAAAAGAAAAACAAAAAAACAAAGCAACTAAATAGTAACAGAAAGATAGCCAACGGAATTTATGGGCTAGGCCTAAACATCCCAAGTGATTTCAACAGAGTTACTTCTTTTTTCATTCTTTCAACCTAGAGAGTGTTTCGCTAAGCTTATAAGCTAGTCAAATTGGCTTATAAACACCTTTTGTAAATATCTTTATCTACGCGTTTGGTAAATACCCAAAGTATTTATAAGTTAAGTGATTATAAGTTAAAACCAGCCATAAGTTATAAGTTGGTCATCCCCAACTTATGATTTTTTAGCTTGTAAGCACTTTTAGTTTGACCAAAATTTTACTAGTTTATTCTTAATAATATTTTTTAATTCACAAAATTTTATTCCCAATATAAATTTTCTAACTTTCTTTTCATTTCATATTCGTTGTTCATCTTTTTCTTTACAAAGAAACTTTTTAATTTATAATTTTTTGTAAAGTTTTTAGAAATATTTTAGTTATTTTAATAAAAGAACAACTTATCAGCATTTTTCTATCAAACACATTAATTACTTATTATCATTTTTAGCTCACCTAGCCAAACACGTACTTATTCAAAAAATTAATTTCATCACTTAAAAAATCACTTCAAGCTTAGTAGCCGTTTGCAAAAGTTAATCCAAACGAGCTCATAATCTAGTGCACTTCCCAAAGTATGACTGCTGATTCAAGAATCTATCAAACAAATAATAGAAATCATTTCACGTTATTTCCCTTATTTGTAGCGTAACGCAATCAGCTGGTGTAGGTTGCGTAATGGCCAATGACATTCCCTCATGGGTTGCTAGATAAGAACCGTCTGTCCCAAATCCCAAAATATTCTATTTCGATAAAACATATTGCCCACACCTGCCTAGGATTTCTGTATGTTCTTCTCACGACCATTCACAATAAAGCTGTACCTGTGTCTGGTACACCAACTCTTTCCAATTTATGTAAACATTTATTCCCCATTTCAATTTAGAAGATGCAGTTTGACTTGACATAAATTTTAAGAAAAAATATTTTTTTTTAAAATTTTTGTTCTTAAAAAGTTAAGGAGTAAAAATTTTATTGGGTCATATATTTATGTGGTTATAAAAGTTTCTCATTAATGGTAAGATAAATAGTTTAAAGTTAAATTATTTTAAATTGTAGAAGTCATTTTTTTTAACGAATCAATAAAAAAAAGTGTGTTATCTAATTTAAAACGGAGGGAGTATAGAATTTAAGAAAGAAAGAATTCTTTTTAAATTTATAATCTAAAATAAGTTATTTATATTTTTATGACTATAGATTATCCCATTAAGGTTAAAATTAAAAGATTAAAATTAAACTTTTTAAATATTAAAATATATCATTCTTTTGGACAAATTGAAAAAATAAAATTCCACCAAAAGAAGAATCGGGAGAATAATATAAAATATTTGGTGTTGTAAATTAAAATGTGTAAATTTCTTGTTTTTGACAAACGGATCCAAATTATAGGTACAAATAATTAGAAGGTTGGATAATATAGATACTTGTATCATTCATGCATTTTTGAATGTGGTCACTTTTGGGAGAATTTTTACTCTTTCTAATTTGAAGAACCCGCAATTTGAGTTTTTGTAAATGTAAAAGTAAAATGCATTGGTTATCCATTAAGTATCAATTTTTAAGTGGATAATATGATTTTTTTTCATATTCGATCCATTTTAAATAAATTCATTACTTAACCTAATTTTAACAGATAATATTGATATATAATTATTCTTTTCTATATCCATTTTGCCACCACTCTTCATACTATATTTTTTTATCGGTAAAAACTTACTTTTATCCGGTATATTAATTTATTATGATCGAATATTTAACTAATGAGATAAGAATGTATATTAGTTATTCGTGATTAAGCGAGAGAGTCTATGTGCAAAGACATATTACATATATGTATTGATTTGATATAAATACTAATTGAGTAAGTTCTCACTAAGGATATAAATGATAATAGATTTTTGACGATACGTTTTGAGTAATAATATTTGACAACAATAGTGTTGGCTGAAACAAGTACTATATATATATATA